CTATCCATATCAAAAATGAAGAAATTAAATAATATATCTATAGAGAAGCTACCTTTCTCTCACTCAATAGATGTATCCGGTTTGGTACGGTACAGTACAATACGAGACGATGGAATGCAATGGGATGGATGGTAGAGGGCTGCCTGCGCCCAAAAGCGATGATTCCCCTTGTCCATAGGGACCTCGTGGCATACAACCGAAACGACTCCCGCTAGATAGCCGCCCCTATCTATCTTTTTACAGCCTCGTGGACGGACTAAAGAAGGGAAGTTACAGAACGGGGCAGTGAAGGCTCGAGAAGTAGACATCAAGCTTTTCTCAGCCCCCTAACATTTCTATTATTATTTAAGCGCTAGCGCGCCCCTTTCTCTAATCTTAGAGAAAGGGGCGTAAGCACTTCACTCGCTAGGGGATGGGATTCATTCACTTGCATTCCCGCTAGCACTACAAAAAGCTCCGGCCTTAACGCCCCTACTATCATGTGCAGGCCTTTCCTCGGGTTCGTAGAGTCGGGTTTCCCGTTTACCCACAACGGAGGACCCCACTGCACTGAGCAGGCGGCCACGGGTCATAACGCACTCTTCGCACAACAAATCCACTTTGAAGTTGACTTATCCGCTCGGCCAATCGTCGGAATGTGTACGATATACCATAAGGGCCCAATATCTCAATAGCACCTTTGTCTAAAGCTTCGAATGAGACTTCATATCCGAAACGCAGGAACGATATGACTAGAAAGTCATTAAAAACTTGATCGAAGAACCAGCGTTTATTGAAGAAGCTATAGAGTCGATTTTAAAAAGTACTTGTTTGAAAGGCTCGTTGGAATTGATCCGCTACGGGATTTACATTATACGCAACAGAAGCACCTAGAGTACTAAACAGAATAGGTATTAGTTTGGTAATGGTTGGAGCAGCAAACTCGGATTCGGTAACCGCTCTTAAATGTGAAGATATGATAGCGGTTCCGCGTTAACCGCTATCTAAAGTCTCGATTATTTGAATATATTTTGATGTAAAATTATATATATATATATATATATATATATTATAAAATATAATTTATATTAATTACTATAATATAAAATATATATTCCACAATATAACTTATTTTCATTTATATATATATTATAGAAATAAAAATAAATTATATTTTAGAATATATAATTTTTCAAATGATCGATTACTATTTCAAATGATCGATCACTTTTTCAAATAATCGAGATCGTAGATAGCGGTTAACGTGGAACCGCTATCATATGTTCACATTTAAGAGCGTTAAGATGTTAACCACTCTTAAAAGTGAACATATGATAGCGGTTCCACCTTAACCGCTATCTAAAGTCTCGATTATTTGAATATATTTTGATGTAAAATTATATATATATAAATGAAAATAAGTTATATTGTGGAATATATATTTTATATTATAGTAATTAATATAAATTCTATTTTAGAATATATATATATATATATATATTATAAAAATTAAAATAAATTATATTATAGAATATATAATTTTTCAAATGATCGATTATTTTTCCAAATGATCGATCACTTTTTCAAATAATCGAGACTTTAGATAGCGGTTAACGTGGAACCGCTTATCATATCTTCACATTTAAGAGCGGTTAAAATGTTAATCGCTCTTAAAAGTGAACATATGATAACAGCTTCCACCTTAACCGCTATCTAAAGTCTCGATTATTTGAATATATTTTGATGTAAAATTATATATATATATATATATATATATATATATTCTAAAATATAATTTATATTAATTACTATAATATAAAAAATATATTCCACAATATAACTTATTTTCATTTATATATATATTATAGAAATTAAAATAAATTATATTTTAGAATATATAATTTTTCAAATGATCGATTACTATTTCGAATGATCGATCACTTTTTCAAATAATCGAGACTTTAGATAGCGGTTAACGTGGAACCGCTATCACATGTTCACATTTAAGAGCGGTTAAGATGTTAACCACTCTTAAAAGTGAACATATGATAGCGGTTCCACCTTAACCGCTATCTTAAATCTCGATTATTTGAATATATTTTCATGTAAAATTATATATATATATATATATATATATATATATATATATATATAAATGAAAATAAGTTATATTGTGGAATATATATTTTATATTATAGTAATTAATATAAATTATATTCCATAATATAACTTATTTTCATTTATATATATATATATATATATATATATTATAGAAATTAAAATAAATTATATTTTAGAATATATAATTTTTCAAATAATCGATTACTTTTCCAAATGATCGATCACTTTTTCAAATAATCGAGACTTTAGATAGCGGTTAACGTGAACCGCTATCATATATTCACATTTAAGAGCGGTTAAGATACAACCACTCTTAAAAGTGAACATATGACAACGGTTCCGCGTTAACCGCTATCTAAAGTCTCGATTCTTTGAATATATTTTGATGTAAAATTATATATATATATATATATATATATATAAATATATATATTCTAAGATATAATTTATATTAATTACTATAATATAAAATATATATTCCATAATATAACTTATTTTCATTTATATATATATATATTTATATATTATAGAAATTAAAATAAATTATATTTTAGAATCTATAATTTTTCAAATGATCGATTACTTTTTCAAATAATCGAGACTTTAGATAGCGGTTAACGTGGAACCGCTATCATATGTTCACATTTAAGAGCGGTTAAGATGTTAACCGCTCTTAAAAGTGAACATATGATAGTAGTTCCACCTTAACCGCTATCTAAAGTCTCGATTATTTGAATATATTTTGATGTAAAATTATATATATTTTAAAATATAATTTATATTAATTACTATAATATAAAATATATATTCCACAATATAACTTATTTTCATTTATATATATATATATATATATATATATATATATATAGAAATTAAAATAAATTATATTTTAGAATATATAATTTTTCAAATGATCGATTACTTTTCCAAATGATCGATCACTTTTTCAAATAATCGACACTTTAGATAGCGGTTAACGTGGAACCGCTATCATATCTTCACATTTAAGAGCGGTTAAGATGCAATCGCTCTTAAAAGTGAACATATGATAGCGGTTCGCGTTAACCGCTATCTAAAGTCTCGATTATTTAAATATATTTTGATGTAAAATTATATATATATATATATTCTAAAATATAATTTATATTAATTACAATAATATAAATATATACTCCCCAATTTAACTTATTTTTATTTATATATGTTATAGAAATTAAAATAAATTATATTTTAGAATATATAATTTTTCAAATGATCGATTATTATTTCAAATGATCAATCATTTTTTCAAATAATCGAGACTTTAGATAGCAGATAACGTGGAACCGCTATCATATGTTCACATTTAAGACCGGTTAAGATATTAACCGCTCTTAAAAGTGAACATATGATAGCTGTTCCACCTTAACCGCTATCTAAAGTCTCGATTATTTGAATATATTTTGATGTAAAATTATATATATATATATATATATATATATATATATGTATATTCTAAAATATAATTTATATTAATTACTATAATATAAAATATATATTCCATAATATAACTTATTTTCATTTATATATATATATATATATATATATATATATATATTCTAAAATATAATTTATATTAATTACTATAATATAAAATATATATTCCACAATGTAACTTATTTTAATTTATATATATATATTATAGAAATTAAAATAAATTATATTATAGAATATATAATTTTTCAAATGATCGATTATTTTTCCAAATGATCGATCACTTTTTCAAATAATCGAGACTTTAGAAAGCGGTTAACGTGGAACCGCTATCATATGTTCACATTTAAGAGCGGTTAAGATGTTAACCGCTCTTAAAAGTGAACATATGATAGCGGTTCCACCTTAACCGTTATCTAAAGTCTCGATTATTTGAATATATTTTGATGTAAAATTATATATATAAATTCTAATATATAATTTATATTAATTACTATAATATAAAATATATATTCCACAATATAACTTATTTTCATTTATATATATATTATAGAAATTAAAATAAATTATATTTTAGAATATAAAATTTTTCAAATGATCGATTATTTTTCCAAATGATCGATTATTTGAATATATTTTGATGTAAAATTATATATATATATATATATATATATATATATTTATATATATATTCTAAAATATAATTTATATTAATTACTATAATATAAAATATATATCCCACAATATAAATTATTTTCATTTATATATATATTATACAAATTAAAATAAATTTTATTTTAGAATATATAATTTTTCAAATGATCGATTACTATTTCAAATGATCGATCACTTTTTCAAATAATCGAGACTATAGATAGTGGTTAACGTGGAACCGCTATCATATGTTCACATTTAAGAGCGGTTAAGATGTTAACTGCTCTTAAAAGTGAACATACGATAATCGGTTCCACCTTAACCGCTATCTAAAGTCTCGATTATTTGAATATATTTTGATGTAAAATTATATATATATATATATATATATATATATATTCTAAAATATAATTTATATTAATTACTATAATATAAAATATATATTATATTAATTACTATAATATAAAATATATATTCCACAATATAACTTATTTCATTTATATATATATATATATATATATATATATATATATATATATATTATAGAAATAAAAATAAATTATATTTTAGAACATATAATTTTTCAAATGATCGATTGTTTTTCCAAATGATCTATCACTTTTTCAAATAATCGAGACTTTAGATAGCGGTTAACGTGGATCCGCTATCATATCTTCACATTTAAGAGCAGTTAAAATGTTAACCGCTCTTAAAAGTGAACATATGATAAGCGGTTCCACCTTAACCGCTATCTAAAGTCTCGATTATTCGAATATATTTTGATGTAAAATTATATATATATATATATATATATATATATATATATATATATATATATTCTAAAATATAATTTATATTAATTACTATAATATAAAATATATATTCTACAATATAACTTATTTTCATTTATATATATATATATATATATATATATATATTATAGAAATTAAAATAAATTATATTTTAGAATATATAATTTTTCAAATGATCGATTACTTTTCCAAATGATCGATCACTTTTTCAAATAATCGAGACTTTAGATAGCGGTTAACGTGAACCGCTATCATATGTTTACATTTAAGAGCGGTTAAGATGTTAACCGCTCTTAAAAGTGAACATATGATAGCTGGCTCCACCTTAACCGCTATCTAAAGTCTTGATTATTCGAATATATTTTGATGTAAAATTATATATATATATATATATATATATATATATATATATGTTCTAAAATATAATTTATATTAATTACTTTAATATAAAATATATATTCCACAATATAAATTATTTTCATTTATATATATATATTATAGAAACTAAAATAAATTATATTTTAGAATATATA